AGATGGGATGTTGTTTTTTTAGAAAAAAATAATAAATGGGCCGCATGGACGCTACATTATTTGTTCACCCCAGCGCAGTGAATGGACTATAAATTCTAAAAAAATGGGTTGAATATGTGCAAAAAATTTGAAGGCTGAAATGTGGGCCAATAGGTCAAAGCCAACGCAAGGCGTTGTCAACTTAGTCAACAAATGATTCTGACATTGATAGCCGTATGATTTACATCCAACGGCCGACATTCATCTTCAATCTCTCGTCTTCTTCCTTCAGTGCCACCGGGACCACCTGCTCCCGCCTCCGGCTGCTAGTAGCTCTGCTTAGCATGCTTTGCTACGAAGCGCTACCCCACCCCCGGCCAAGCAATCCCTCCGCCCCTCCACACCTCATGTTATTCTCCGCCGACTATAGAACCACGCCGCACCAGAACCAGTTAACCCTCGTACACCTCTCCGTCTGCGACTCCACTGCCATGTCTTTCCATCACCAGCTCATTGCCGTCCGGGTCCTCGCCGCCGTCCACCGCCTTGGTGCACTCAGCGCGGCGTGGTCAACAAATGAGAGTAATCGAAAAAGGACTATATGTGGAGAGCCTGATAGTGGGGACGCACCAGGTCCACGGACGCACGCATGCAACCGCCTGCTTATTATGCAAAAATAAAATTATTCCTCCTCCTGAAAGCTGGGACCCACCACATATATCTTCGCAAGGAAGTGCCTCTTATGCGTGCCCCTAACAACAGGGACCCACCACCAACATCTTTGCACGCAAGGAAGTGCCTCCTTATTACTGGTAAAAAAATATGATTCCGCCCTTGACCACTGGGACCTGCCAGCTATATATTCGCACGCAAGGAAGTGCCTCCTTGTCCTCCCTGACAGCTGGGACCCACCCGGTCGAAGCATACGTGCCGTTGTTTGTGTACATACCGGCCGATTGGTCTGTCTGCAACGATGAACCGTGGCCGAGTAATGAGCGGTAGCAGTTCGGGTAGCCAGCCAAAACCGTGCACACGTACGAACAGCTAGATGCCAAAAAATACGGCCACATAAATACATACGGGCGTGGTTTCGAATGCGTACTCACGCATATGTATGGCCAGGGCTCGTGTACATGGAGAGGCAACGGACAGCAGCAACGACGTCCTGTTCATCGGAAGCTAACCGGCTGGGCCAGAACAGAGAAACTGCGTCGTTTTCATCGAGAGGCAACGGAATGCGTTGTGTTCATCGGGAGGCAACGAAATACGTTGTGTTCATCGGGAGCCAACCGGTTGGACGATACAGCCGAAACGAGGTCTGGCGTACCGCAGAACGGAGGAAACGGGCCTTCTGTTCAACCGCATACGGTCGAAACGGGGTCCCATTCATCAGAAAGGGTCTGGCATACCGCAAAACGAAGGAAACAGACTCATGTTCGAGTGCCTACGGTCGAAACGGGGTCCTGTTGATCGGGAGGGGTGTGGCTTACTGCAAAATGGAGGAAACAAACTTTTGGGAGTGCCGACGGTCGAAACGGGGTCCTGTTCATCCACCGTCTACTACATTGCTCCAGCCTCCATGAGCTACTATTCATCCACCATCGACCTCCTCTAGCCTCCACGGGCTACTGTTCATCCAGCCTCCACCAGCTACTATTCATATAGCCTCCACGGGGTCCTGTTCATCCACCCCAACCGGCTGGGGTGTGGCGGCCTCCTCGAGGTCCTATTCATCCAGCGGCAACGGCCTACTACCACAGGGTCCTGTTCATCCAACACCCACCGGGAACTGTTCATCCATAGCCAACCAATCGGTTCGACTCACCACGTCTCGACTCGTTCTACGTACCGCGTGCATGGTAGCAACGGTCACTGTTCATCGAGAGGCAACTCAACACCGGTGGCTACGTCTCGTACGGGGGGCTCGATAGGCTTCAATAAGTAGCAGAAGTGATCGATCGCTTAGTTCAGTTAGCAGCAGCAATGAAGGAATCGCTCGGGTTCAGTCAGCAGCAGTGAATGAATCGCTCGGGTTCAGTTAACAGCCAAGGGATCGATCGCTCGGGTTCAATAACGTGCGACCGCTCGGGTTCAGTTAGCTAACGCCTCGCACACGCACGCGTACACAAGCGAAACGTGCAAACCACAGTGCATAGCTCGGCCTCGACCACCCACCGTAACTGGGAACTCCCTGTATTTTCCTCGCCCTCGCTTCTACCATGATTTTTTCCGTCATGGACGGCCCAAAGAATGTCATGCAGCTGCGTCTCCGGCCCGCCCAGGACGAAAAGTCCATTTTCTGTCATGATTTTTTGTCATAAAAGTAGGACCCCACCACATCTATGATGATACGTGTTTTTGTCACAATTATCATCATAAAAGTGTCATAAGCATGACATATTTTTTTTCGTTTGGCCCAAAATGTCACAGATGTGTCTTTTTTTGTAGTGCAAGGCTCGCCTCCAAGATCAATTCAATGAAGAAGCCAATTGTATTCAACCTCGACGATTAGTAGAGATGCACGTTTGCAAAGATTGCTTCCCCAACAAACGCAAGTCCAAGATCTTACCTCGTGTGTTGGTCCATTCAAGGTGTCATAATACATCAAAGACAATGCCTACAAGATCGACATACCACTCGACAAGTACAATGTGAGCGGCACATTCAACGACATCGACTTGGCACCTTACCATGGTGATGAAGAACATGATCCGGGGGGAGTTAGGACATGGTGTGGAGCACCCTACGGTCATCCCCATGGATACACCACCATCGCTCGAAGCGCCAAGTGGACCAATGACTAGAACCCGTGCAAGAGCCATCGAAACCAAGGTTACCGCCCTCCTTTTTGATCTCCCTGTGCATACCTATGAGCCATCTCTACTACCTTAAGCAGAGACCCTTTGCATGCTTAGGTACCAAGGAAACAATGATGGAGAAGCCAAGGGCTAAGGCCAAGCTTGGATGGAAGTGAAGTGAGGAAGATAATGGAAGAAGTGTCAGCACTTGCACTTACCCGGACGTCCGGACTCCTGGCCAGATGATCCGGGTAAAGCCGAACGAGATGGTTTTCTGGACAAGTGTCCGGGCTGGGCAACTGGGCCTCGGTCGAACGATTCAGACAGCAACCTGGATGATCCGGGCATCAGCCTGACATCCGGCTACCGTCTCGAGCATCTGTATAGGGCTAAAGAAGTACACCCGAAGACTTCCTAGGAAGCCGGACCATCCGGGTAACTACCCCGATCATCCGGCCAATGCTCAGACAATCTGGGTAGCTACCAGATTGGCCAACCATGCCCGCGTGCAATTCAGCCCAAGTGGCCATCTATCCCTTCATCCCAAATGTACTACCATTAATTAGATGACCCCCACCTCATTTCTTGGGTTAGCAAAGTATAACGAACTAAATAGAGAGAGCTTTGCTCCTTGTACCTCCTCCTAAAGGATGAGGCCCTTCCAAGGAAGAATAATCTCTCAAGATTACCAAGGCCTCCTAAGGGAGAAGGATCCCCATCATAGGGTCAATAATACCTCCTATGGGAGGAGAATCTCTTGAGACCATCAAGCCCCATCTCCATACGATTTGGGAAGAACAACCCTTGCTTCTCTTTTCCCTTGTTCACCTTATATTCTTGTGGACCTCGTGTGTTTGCATATCTAGTGGACGTGTGATTTGGACTTCCGTCTGAGTGTCCCCTCTTGTGATTTGTGTGTTCCTCTTGATTTCCCCTCCAAGTTGTGAAAGACCAGGCCACCTAGGTTCCTACGCTACATCACTGCTTGCATACCATCATTCCAAATAAGCACAAAGGTATTTCTGTCTTTGATGAAATACAATTGACCATACCGGAACTTTTTAGTGATATTGATATGGACATCATCATAATGAGAGGTTGGAGCGCATGGACAGAAAGGAGAGATAGATCTTCAGAAATGCTACTCAGAATATCAGTTGCATGTATCGCCTCAAAGAAGATGTGAAGTTATCTCGTCTTAGAGCATCTCCAAGCTTGTCTATATGGATGTCTATACTCGTTTTCTACGACGTGAGCCCAAAACAGGCGTCCAACAGCTTGTCTATATGGTCGTCCAAATATACACATCCTTTAAATCGACCTCAACAATGTCCATGCCTGGACAATGTGAAGGCGTTGTCTAAACTCAGCTGCAGTCATGATTTCTTCCTCTCCCCAGCGACGGCCCACCTGTCATGGTCCCTGTATATAGACGTTCTGATGCAAAACTGAACGTGTATATGAGGGAATCTTTTTAGACCATTGTCTATATGAATATATAAACATTCAAATATACACATGCTATTGGAGATGCTCTTAGATTGAAACATCCCAAGGCAACTCATATTCACACTTGGACTTCAACTAACTTAAATCAGCTTTGATTATTACCACAGTGCGTTGGCCAAGAGAGGAGACTGGGTAATTGTATTTTTTACTCCTTTTTACTTTTATATTTATTTTTTATTTGTAAATACTTCTTATTTTGTCTACAGTTCAGGGCATAAAAAATAAACATTTAGCAAACACAAAAACAAACATGGTTCTTATAATCCAAGTATCCCTAGCGGAAGGCAGACACACGAACCCCAGAAAAAAGGATCAACAGAGCAAAATCACCTCATCCACATGCGGAGGAGGAGCCTCTCGCCAGTCGCGCCACCTCACAATGTCCCCTAAGGCTCCGCTTGGATTAGCGTTTGGCCTCTCAATACCCCTGTAAAAACGATACAGACCTCTAGGCGTCGTTTTTTCTCCCGGCGAAACTCACGCTGCGGCCGGTATAATACAAGTGTATACAAAATCCGGATGTAATATCTTACACCGAATCCAAGCGGGCCCTAAACCTCTTCCGAGTTATCCTATGGCAGAGACAGACAAATCCTATCCTCTTCCCTCACACACTACACCATTCACATCTTTTTCCCTCTCCTCTCTGGCGTACTGGCACAGGAACCTGCTTCTTTTTTCTCTTTGTTTCTCCCTCCGTCTCCGTGACCAGCAATGGCCTTGGAGACATGCCTCAGAGGCTGGGCCCTGCACGCGCCCCAGGCTGGCATCAGGGAACGGCTTAGCAGTGGAAGCTACGCGCCATCCCGGCCAAGGACCGCCGCCCCCGCCGTTGTCTCGCCGTCCCCATACAAGTCCGCTCTGGTGGCGGCACGGCGGCCGTCTCGCTTCGTCTGCAAGTGCAAGAACGTCGTCGACGAAGGTACATCGCTGCCCTTACCCCTCTCTCTAGGCTCGGTGAACAATAAAGGAGCAGATGCTGAGAATAGTCTTAATAATGGCGCATGCAGTGATTGTGGCTGACGAGAAGAATTGGGATAACATGGTGATCGCGTGCGAGTCGCCGGTGCTGGTGGAGTTCTGGGCGCCGTGGTGCGGGCCGTGCCGGATGATTGCCCCGGTGATCGACGAACTGGCAAAGGACTACGTGGGGAAGATCAAGTGCTGCAAAGTGAACACGGACGACTGCCCAAACATCGCATCCACCTACGGCATCCGGAGCATCCCCACCGTGCTCATGTTCAAGGACGGCGAGAAGAAGGAGAGCGTCATCGGCGCCGTCCCGAAGACCACCCTCTGCACCATCATCGACAAGTACATCGGCAGCTAATTAATCATTCTTCATTACCGATTAATCGAGGACGCACACATTACTGTTCTGTTCGCCAGACAGCATATATGTATGTATATGATGCACGTATACGATCCACCGATCAGTCGTGACTTGTACTACTCTTAATTCAGATGCAAATCAAAACTGATTTATTCGGGCGCACGTCAGTATACATGCATGTTCGTAAATCTGTGTTGACATCCTTTCTGTAGCAAAGAAAAAAAGATACTGATATATATAAGAGCAAGTAATTATTTTGTTTGATCCGCAAAACATAGAACAATAGTTCAAGAAAAGAATACAACGGGACGGCTCTAGAAATGAAAAAGAAATGTCCCAATGCCTGCTCTAGAGAAGAAAAACATGGTTTAAAGATTACTATCTATCCACCGGCTAAAGGCATGAACATGCTTCTCTTTTATTTTGAATTTCAATAACTTGAGATCCTGCTTGAGGTAATATTTCCAGGCTTGAATTGATTATTGCTGGACTCTAAAAATTCTGCCATTTCTTTGGGTCCAAACATTCCAGCAACCGAACACCACAATTTCCACATAGAAGCTTTTTGGCAGTTGCTTAGCTGCAAGTAGGGGTTTGTTAGAATAAAACCGAGGCGTATAGTCGATCATCTGAGGGCCAAACAAGCATAAATGCATGACACCGAGATTTGTTAACGAGGTTCACCGAAATGACTACAGCCCCGGGGCCTAACTATGAGTGCTCCTCCCCATGACACCGCTACAATATCGCACCCAGTCTCCCTGGATGTCGGCGCAAGCCGCCGGCTTCCCCTGCGTTCCTGTGCTATTATGTTCGCATAGGTTACATCGTTTGTCTACCCTATATATGAGAGGCCTAGGATACAAGTGTCCTAGTAGGACATGAGTCCATATCCTATCGAAACACAATACTACTCAGAGTCCAGCAGTAACCTACCTTGTACACTATACTCGACACAACTTTAACAGGGTTTCTTCATAAACTGATGTACCTCTCTTTTTTGTGAGGAAAATCAGGGAATTCCGGCATTCTTGAACAAAGTTGCAGTCCCAAAAAAGGTGCATTGTGGTATCTTCAGCATTCTGATTGCAGTTGTGGCAGAAAGGATTGTCCAAGTGCATTCCTTTTCTCTTGATAAATGCTCTAGTATTAAATTTTGCAGTGAGCTACTAGCCAAAAAATCATCTTATGTTTGTAGCCTGCTAGAGCTGCTCAGATTAGCTTGAAGATACGATGCCCCTCCACATCTCCCATCAGGTGCTTGTACATTTGCATGGAAGAATAATTAGAATATTTGCTTAACCATTGCAAACCCATTTGTCTTTCGTATTATTACTGAGCTTTGTAATGAGTTCTTCAAGTTGATTGAATTGGTTGAATGCTTGAGTGGATAGTGCCGACGTCCTTGCTTCAGAAGCACAAAACCATTGATCAGATACAGTGTCATAAATAGCATAGAGTGCAGTTCTCGAAATGGTTCTCCATGCCACTTGTCTTTCCAGAAGAGAGTGGCTTGCCCAAATATGACAGTGCTAGAGCTATCATTCTTGAATTCATTTGATAATGCTAAGTGTGTTTCCACCAAAATGATCCTTCTAATTTGTCCAAGGGAATGCTTATTTGGTAGTATCTTTCCCAAATGAGCTTGATCATGGGTATCTCTTCTTTGTTTAGATAGTTAAAAACAAGTCCTTAATTAATAAAGCTTTGTTGGGAAGAACAATGTCACGGATTCCAAGACCTCCTTGCTTCTTTGGCTTGCAAACTTTTTTCCAGGCAATTAGAGTTGTGCCCCTATCCTCCATTCACTACTGTAGGATGCTACTAATGTGATACTACAATCAGAGACCCTTCGACAAAACTGTGTGCGATGCATTAATCACAAACGGTGATGTAATAAAACCGTAAAAAATTATATAAAACGTTTGCAATGGCGGAGACATCAAACGCGATTTAGATTATAGTTGTGTGTGTGATGCATGGCATACGGTTAATCCATATGAACTGTTTGTGATGAGCCAGAACAACAGAAACGAACAACCATATCAAGGTGTGTGCAATATATGACATACAGTTCACTCGGATGAACTGTTTGCGATTAGGGAACGCAATAAAAATGGCCAGGCAGATCAAGGTGTATGTGCGATAGATGGCATACCGTTCAATTGGATGAACTGTATGTGATGAGCCAAAACAAGAGAAACGGTCAGCCAAATCAAGGTGTGTGCGATAGACGGATACAGTTCACATAAATGAAGTGTTTGAGCCAAAAAAAACACAAACGATTCGTTTAAACAAGATATGTGTGATACCTGGCAAATAGACCACTCGGAAGAATTGTTTGCGATGAGAAATTATAACACGAACAATTACTACAGTTATTTCGTGTGCGATTATGTCTGTAGAAAAAACTTTGAAAATGCAAACGAGTTGATTGCGATGGCTAGGAGTATCGCACATGATGCATGGTGCGAGTACTCGTGTGGGATGATTAGTAAGTTACACAGACGTTTCCTTATGTTAACACGTGTGTGATAACATGTGACACCGCATACAGTTGTGTGCTCCACTTAGTCTTCCCGCGCTCCAGCGAAGGCTTCCCGCGCGCCACAGTGGTGAATTGTAAAATCTCCAATCCCCTAGCCAGCCGCTAGCTATAAATAACCACAGCAATGGCCGGCGGCAGTGACTCAGTACTGATACACTTGCTAGCTAGTTAGCCAAACATACAAGCATACCACCATCGGCTGACGACAGGATGGAGTTGTGCGACGGGAACAGGCTCCAGAGATCAAATTTTAGGTTAATTGATTATACCTTCAGAGTCGGATGATCATGCGGTGATCATACGACTTTGGAGGTATAATTAATTAACCTAATCTATGATCTCCATCACTCGTTTCCCATGTTTGGCTGAGATCAAATAATTAAAGCTTCCCCAACATGATGGTGCGCCGGCCCTAACCGCAGGCAGATCGCGCATGAAGGGGCGCGACAGCAGAGCGCACTGAGGGACGCGGCCCGAGCGTGCCTCGGCGCCTAAGCGGCAAGCAGAGAGCGTGGATGGATGTGACCCGAGCACCCTCAGCGCTTAAACAGCGAACAGAGCGTGAAGAGGGACGCGAGCAGAGCGCGCCGCGGCCACATCAATGGCGAGCAAGCACATGCATAATTATTGCATATAGCAGTTGAACATAGCAGGGAATAGGCGTCCAACAATATTATTTTCGATGACATGCATTAATATTTTCTTAGTTAAATCTAAGTTAAAATTTTGGTACAAAATACGAAGGAGACCAATAAACCATGACGGAGGTAATACATATACCAACACAGATGCCCAGTGTAGAAATTAGTGGCGTTATACACGTGTCCCACAATCCACGCCAATGCTTCACGCCTCTTCTCTCATCGGTTTCCCACCACCAGCTAGTGGCTAGCTCCATATGCATAGGCAGCAACGCACCATAGGGCCACTGTGCGCGGATCTATACCACACCCATCTACCATTAGTTATTTCAAGCATGTCAGCCAACCAAAGCTTCCACGTCGACCCCTTCCCGCGTTACCTCTTCGGCGAGGAGAACTGATACATCTCCAACGTATCTATAATTTTAGGTTGTTCCATGCTATTATGTTATATCTTTTGGATGTTTTATATGCATTAATATACTATTTTATATTATTTTGGGGACTAACCTCTTAACCTAGAGCCCAGTGCCAGTGCCAGTTTCTGTTTTTTCCTTATTTTTGATTTTCTAAGAAACGGAATACCAAACGGAATGAAACCTTCGTGATGATTTTTCTTGGACCAGAAGACAATCAGGAGACTTGGAGATGAAGTCGGAGAATCCATGAGGCGTTCATAAGGACAGAGAGCGCGCCCAGGGGGTAGTGGGCGCCCCCACCCTTGTGGGCCCCTTGTGACTCTCCTGACCTAATTCTTTCGCCTATATATTCCCAAATATCCCCAAACCACCAGAGGGAGCCAAGAAAACACTTTTCCACCGTCGCAACCTTCTGTACCCATGAGATCCCATCTAGGGACCTTTTTCGGCACCCTTCCGGAGGGGGATTCGATCACGGAGGGCCTCTACATCAACTGTATTGCCCCTCCGATGAAGCGTGAGTAGTTTACCACAGACCTATGGGTCCATAGCTAGTAGCTAGATGGCTTCTTCTCTCTCTTTGATTCTCAATACCGTGTTCTCCTCGATGCTCTTGGAGATCTATTCGATGTAATACTTTTTTGCGGTGTGTTTGCCGAGATCCGATGAATTATGGATTTATGATCAGCTTATCTATGAATATTATTTGAATCTTCTCTGAATTCTTTTATGCATGATTTGATATCTTTGTAATTCTCTTAAAACTATCAGTTTGGCTTGACCAACTACATCAGTTTTTCTTGCAATGGGAGAAGTGTTTAGCTTTGGGTTCAATCTTGTGGTGTCCTTTCCCAGTGATAGTAGGGGCAGCAAGGCACAGATTGTATTGTTGCCATCGAGGATAAAAAGATGGTTTTTTTTATCGTATTGCTTGAGTTAATTCCTCTACATCATGTCATCTTACTTAATGCGTTACTCCATTCTTTATGAACTTAATACTCTAGATGCATGTTGGATAGCGGTCGATGTGTGGAGTAATAGTAGTAGATGCAGAATCATTTCGGTCTACTTCACACGGACGTGATGCCTATATTCATGATCATTGCCTTAGATATTGTCATAACTTTGCACTTTTCTATCAATTGCTTGGCAGTAATTTGTTCGTGCACCATGTTATTTGCTATCTTCAGAGAAGCCTCTAGTGAGACCTATGGCCCCCGGGTCTATTTTCCATCATATAAGTTTCCGTCTACTATTTTGCAATCTTAATTTCCGATATATAAATAAAAAATACCAAAAATATTTACTTTAGCATTTATCTATCTCTATCAGATCTCACTTTTGCAAGAAACCGTGAAGGGATGGACAACCCCTTTATTGCGTTGGGTG